ATGAAGCAAAGGTCATGCACCCATGCATATTTAGCTGAAAAAACACCCGGTAATGAAGCAAAAATCATACAAAATATGCAAAATCTATCTCGACCAGTACATAATAATGAAATAAATATCGTGAAGCTACATAAACTCAAGCAAAAAAAGAAATCATATTTACCTCATAGTCAGCGTTTGATGGTCGCAAAATGATCTTTCCCCAACGTGTTTCATATTCACAGACACTGTTCAACATTTTCTTCGTCTAAAATGGTTCGCCGCTATTTACATTTGAAAAATTTCTGAAGGAAACAGAACTGAAAACTATTAAAAACATCAAAGAATGGTACCAGATAAAGGCTTTCACTAGTGCCAAAAAATCGTTCAACATACATTCCTGTGATGAACCTGAAAAAAAAAAGGGAACAAATTTACCGAATAAATAAATATAAATGTAATGTAAACCGCTGGAAAGGCTGATGGGTGCTTACAAGCAAGCTGAAGTATGCTTACCAGCGCAAAATCAACGAAATAAATCAACAAAGATCCAACCTTGCAAGCGATGAGACCAACCACGCATCCAACCAACATGTTGAGGTAACAAAGCAACCAAAAAACTGTTGGGCAATTGCAAAAGCAAGACATCGGCGCGTCATCTAAATGCCCAGCAAATAGCGATCTATACCGAATAAACGAAAAGGATAAGGTCAGCTAATCCCTCAGCGAAAATTGATGGAGTTAATACTGCACCAGAACCAAAAAATGTGCTCGAAGCTAAAAGAACTCTCTACAATCTACGAGTCCATTTTTACCGCCCTTAAACACTTTTGTTTGAAGGAAAATGTATGGAAAAGAAACCTGTACAACATCCAAAATTTTTTTATGGTACAGTACAGTAAGTGAAATTATGGATAGTCCAGAATATGCGGTTATTTCATCCGGAGTCTGAAATATGCGATGAAATAACAAAAGAACTGGCAACAAAAAAAAACAAAAATAAGCGAAACACTGAGCGCATTAAAAAAGTGTAATTTATTACATTTGAAAGAGAAAGTAATGCAAAGAAAGAAGGAAAATGAAGGGAAAAAGGGAAAGAATTATAATTTTTAAATTTTTATAAAAAAATTTTTTTAAATTTGGGGCTAACCACTGAGCTGATAAACCCTTTAGGAGATGAAACGAATGTTAGGATCAGCAGAAGCTTGCTGGCCATCAGGCAGTGTAGCACTGAGGAGAGCAACAGGAAAAGTTGTAATCTGCGCAGGGAGGGTGACGTAGCAACTTCTCTGGATGTTCCAAGTGAAACGGCGAAAAAAATAAGGGGAGAGAAGGAAAAGTAGACAAAATTAAAAATATCGAAAAAGTAGGGAAAATTTTTAAAAGTGCGAATACAGACCTGATAAACGAAGACTTGTTTGTAGGATGAGAATGGAAATCGGCAGGAAAGTAGCTCTTCGAAATATTCGAAAACACGATCAATTGTTGAAGTGGTATGCTTTACAACAGGATCAAGCATCGGAAGTGAGAAACTTGTAATCTGTAAAAACAGCCATAGCAGAGATTTCAAATGTATTCCTGTATATTAAAACTTTTTCCGTCGTATAGACAAAAAAAGATCCATCCATTCCTGGAATTATATTGCTGATGCGACTGAACTAGTTCAATTAAATAATTACAGCCTATTTTTAACGTAATTTAAATTTAGATATTTTATGGCTGTGAAAAAGGTTGTAACTAAAAAATAATAAGTAAAAGTAAAAATAATATTTCACAGTCAGGGATCGGATTTTTCCGAAAAAAAAGTCTTACTTCGGACATCTCTGGTTTTACAATTGGTGTAAAATGACCGATTGCAAAACCGATATTGACTGCTGATGTCGGGATAAGCAGGTGATAATAGAATGTCTTCTTTTGCATACATTCAGTATATTCTGTATCCTGCAATTACACCGTATTCTTCCATTATTATTGAAAAAAAAAACGTTACTCGGCGACATAAAAAATTTTTCAACTCTCCGAGAATTTTTCAATTTTTTCCGATAATTTTTCAGCCTTTTTAAGTAATTTTCAATATTTCTAAACAATTTCCCAATACCATCTCAAGTAATTTTCAGTCTCTCAGGTACTGATTTGAACTAAAATAATGGTGCCTTTTTATGTAAAAAAGCTCACAAAAAGTTCTCCGCTGCAAACCGCCATACAAGAGAGGTCAACAGTTGCTTGAATCCGCCACAGGCACAGCTGATCCGGTGCATCCAAACATGGTAACCAATGCCGTGAGCTAGATAGAATGTTGGAGCTAAAAAAAACGAGAATATATTATGAAGGCACGGCTTCACACTACATTTTCACTC